AATTAATATATATTTTTATTTAAGTTAATCTATTTATTGTTAAATATTACTTAATTTATAACTATTAATATATATATTACTTAATATTGTAAAAAATAAATAATATTAAAATTTTATAATAAAAACAGAAATTTATTGAATTTATTTGCTAAAACTAATAATTAAGTCATAGTTCAAAAATAAGAATAATAAGACAAATTTAAAATATGATTGGATAGTGTAATAAAAAAAATTAAAAATTACTTCAATTATAGAATTGATATATATAGAGCACAATTTCCTAAAAAAAGATAAAATATAAATTAATTTAATATTTATATATAATTTCAACCAAATAATAATAATCAAAATATAATTGAAATTAAATTATAATTTACATAAATAAAATTTGCTTACCCAATTATTATCTCCCAACAATGTTTCCTACAAAACAACAATATTAAAAAAATTAGAAGTGTAAATAAATTAATCAATAACTCAAATTCATATTTAATCAATTGTAGAGAAAGAACAAAAGAGAGAAAGAAAAGAGATTGAGAAGATATAAGTCAAAATTAATATAAATATAATGTAATTATAAGTATGATAAAATTCAGCAACACGAAGAAGGAGGAGGAGAGACATATAAGGGAGGAAAAGAAAGGAGATGCAGAAAAAGAAGAAACCAAATGAGCGGGTTATGTTTGTGTGAGAATATATAGAGTTTTTTACCCATATGAAATTTGTCGGTATTATTTTTACCGACGTAATACACATAGCTAAGATAAAAGTTTGAGCGGGAGCCAAAAAAAAAGTTGAAATTTTTTGATCCCGCCTTTTGTTTCACCGACAAAATTCCTGTTGAAAAGTTAAAAACCAAATATTTTGTGGTTACCGCCATCATTTATCGACAAATGCACGCTGGTAAGTTTTTTTTTTTTAACAGTACTTGAATATGCATTTAATTGCAAGCCTAAACCTCAAAAAAAGTCTAATTGCAAGCCTCAAACCAAAAACTCTCAAAAAAATCTTTGAAAAAAATCGCCCTAGAAAAAACAGTGTCCAAAGCCCTTTTTTTGTTCCCAGTGGCTATGGCCGTTTGGTGGCGATCGGTGAAGATGATGAGATTCGAGAGATGATCGACAAAGATGGTGATGAGATCGAAGTCGGGGGACTGGAAAATCATCCTAAAAAAAACAGTTCTCCAAAACCCCCTTTTTGTTTTCCCTGTGGTTATGGCCGTCTGGTGACGATTGGTGAAGATGATGAGATTCGAGAGATGATCAGCAAAGATGGTGACGAGATCAAAGTCGGGGAACTGGAGAGAGGCTGACGGTTGGAGAAAAGAAGATCCTTATTTTTGTGTGGCTAAGAAGATTCTTATTTGTTGTGTGGCTACTCCCTCTGGCTTTGTCCGAATTTCCTCCACTGGTTTTTTAAAGGTTGGCAAAAGCGGCTGCAAATCCCATCCTTGAAGAATTAATGGACTGTGGTCATTGGTCATGGGATATGTTTGGTGGGCTGCCGGAGTGATATCACCGACAAGATTTTTGTTGCAGAATCTTATAGTTACCGACGAGAGATTCATCGGTCCCTAAAATCTCTGCTCACTGCACTCAAAAAGCTGCCGGAGCTAGCGGAGTGGGTATTCAGGATTAATACCGACAAAAAATACGTGTGTGTTGGATGAATTTACCGACGAAATGCTCCTCTGAAATTTAAATAATATAAATTAATTTTCATTTTACTGTTTTTAACCATACAGACATGTTCTTTGTCGGTAAGCATTCATTTAACCGACGAATCTTTCCACGTCGGTGATTTTTGGTCGGTGATATTTGGTTTTCTAGTAGTGTACCCTCACTTGAAATGTCCTAGCATTTCTATTTTTCCAGTTCTAGATGTCCCAACATAGACATGCAATTTCTTCCATCAACCCTTTTCGAGTTCTTCCCCATTGAGCACCAACAAGTAGCCACCAGTTCACAAAATTAAACTGCTTAATTCGAGAATTAAGGGCCAAAACAGTTTGATCTTCGATTCAATTTTAAAAACATTGTATTGACATAACTTGTCATTATGGTGGAGAGCCCCTTTCCACAATGGCAATGCCTGCATTCCAACTTCAACTTTCCGCGAACCAGGGGCTGCAGGGTTTCAGCGTTTTGAAAAACAGGAATACAATTTCAGGTAGGTCAATTCTTGAGCCAATTAAATCAAAAAAGAAGACAAGCAATCTGAGTGGAGACAGGTATAAAAAAGTTGAGTTACAGTACATAGGCCCTCCATGATTTGAAAGGACAGCCTTTCGCAAAGCAAGAAATTAATGAGATGCATGGTATCCAATGTATACTGGGCCCACTTAATTTCGTACCTTTTCTTTCTCACAATGTCTTTTTTTTTTTTTTTTTTTTAAATTATGTACATAGATTAAAAATATCAATTATAATTAGAGCAGTGCTAGAGGCACTCGCCTTTGCACTCTCCGGCCAGCGCTCCCCTTTTCATTGGGCCACGTAAGCTCGTTTCCGGCTTTGTGGTCAACCTCCTGCTAACCAGAATAACGTGGCCCAATAAAAGTGAAAGTGTTGGCCGGAGAGTGCAGGAGGCGAGTGCCCCTAGCGTTCCTCTTATAATTAATTTATATTTTTCAATTTTATTCTTTGCCTCTGTTTGTTTTAAGAACAGAAGAGAAAGGGGGAGAAGTTTTTGATAAGATATTTAAAATATTTTTCTTTCCTATTTTTTAGTTTTTAAAAAATTTTAATTTAAAATTAAAGTTAAA